GGATAGATTGTATTTGTCTTCAGCATGGAAGGGATTGTCACTCTCGAATTGGCCTTCTCAGCCACAGTAGATGCTGTTCCAAGACCTCTATTCAGAGCACGTTACCATAGTCTCTTGAGACTGAAGGATGTCTAATGATGAATATTGGGATAAGGTGTGCTTATCAAGAAGATGAAACATTTAGCACTGTGTCCCATCTCTATATGCTGGCTGTAAGTGTGATAAACCACCTGTCTGGAATACAAATGGTCTGCATAATCATGTATGTGGACTAAAATCGCCTCTTTACCCAACCCTAAAATGAACCTTAAAATTGTATGAGGTGGCCAGCAGCCACGTCTCTTTGAAATTAAGAAAGCTGAACATGAATAACTTCAACAGGATGTTAAGTCTGGTTTTCAGTTGTTGCACTTAAGTTATATTCAAAGGTGCCCCGTAGTGCTATTCTTAACAAAGGACCACGCTATGGCATAACTGTTCCCTACACTGTCTGATTTATATTAAGAAACTCAGTGTATGCCAATATATATACAGAATGCAATTTCTAATTGTTATAAGGCATCAAAGAACTTTCTGAAAAATGACATTGGTTGCCATCTAGAAATTGTCAAAATCAGCTGCTATGTGCTTTGATCACAGCACGTCTCTAAAGTCACCACTTTCTTGTGCTGCTCACACAGCTTTCAATTAGGTTGTCCAAATCGGTTTCATAGGATAATTATGTTACTTCTTTTAGGCGCTCTGTCCACCATCCCACATTGAACAGGCACAGGCAAACTTACTGATTTCATGGAGCTCACGTGTGCTAACTCTGGGCTGGATTGTGGTCTTTGCATTACGAATGTGAGAGGCTGTTACTTAGCCCCTGCGACTCCTTTCAATTAAAAGGCTCACCTATGTATCAGGACATCTTTTTTTTAAGAATATTTTAGACTGCACCATGATTAAAGAAGGGAGTTACAAATAGGTTAGCGCGTGAATTTTTAACTTCCAGATAAATTACTTAAAATTACTGATTAACATTCTCTCGACACTTCCAAATTCACAAGTCAGTTCAGTGAGTGCTGTGATCACTGAAGTGTAATCTCACGTGCACCATAGCAGCATGTGTTTTCCTACCACTAGGGCTGGATGGATGTCTCTCTCTCTCTCTCCTCCTATCCCTCTATACAGCAGAAACTATTGTCCTAAGGAAAAGACCTACAACTGAGGGGGGGGGGGTTCCTGTCCTTTTTGCTAGTAGTTGGTTTTGGGGTAATTTGATGAGAGTCATCTCTACAAAGAGAAAGAGAGGGAGAGACATATTTTATTTGCTTTATTTTGACAAAACTGAATCATGAACTGAAGAGCCTCATGGCACAGTGGTTAAACCGCTGTACTGCGGCCAAAACTGTGCTCACGACCTAGGGTTCGATCCCAGGTAGCCGGCTCAAGGTTGACTCAGCCTTCTATCCTTCCGAGGTCGGTAAAATGAGTACCCAGCTCTCGGGGGGGGGCAATGTGTAGCCTGCATAATTAACTTGTAAACCGCCCAGAGAGTGCTTGAAGCACTATGGGGCAGTATATAAGCAGCACACTTTGCTTTTTATTAGTTTTTTTAAACATTTGTTTTATCAATAAACTGCCTTTTTCTCAATAAGGGGACCCAAGACACATATGTACTGCACTGGAACATTAATAAAGTAATTAAATGTATTTACATTATTAAATTTGGTCACATGATACCAACTACAGGAGTGGGGGATGTGGCTACAGAGGGCATTTTGATTTTTCTCCATGCACTTCATCTGGAAATCCTGCCTGTGAGAGGCTTGGAAAAATTTTGTTTTGTTCTACAGTTCTCTGAATATTAACTATCTGAAGAATTCTGGGAAAGGTAGCCCTAAAAAGTAAACCCCACCAGCTTGGCCTTTGGCTTCCATATAGATTCCTGTGGGATTTCTTAGCAAGCAAGCTAACCCCTGCTTGCAATGATGCTGCAGCCCTGCCCAAATTCCTCTCTCAATACAGCTACATTTGTTCATTACATAAAACCAATAGAGAAACTCTATTCATAGGTATAATGATTCTCAGAATACAGAATTAACTCACACCTCTCTCATGTTTGTAAAACAAAGCCACTATTGCAGACACGTTGCAGGGATAATAAAGGGTACATCTTCTCTTTTCCCAGAGCGCTATCAAAGTGATGAAGCGTGCAAAGTCTATATGCATGTGAAATGCAGGACTGTGAAGATGAGCATCTTGAAAAATAAGAGACCTGCAGAGAATTAACAGTGGAAGAAGAAAAAAAATCCCATTGATTTACCGAAGTTACCTCATTTTCTTCTCCTCAAGAGTCTATGTATTTCCTGTTCCTTTGAAAAACAGATTTTGAAAATAATTGAGAGCTTCTCAAGCATCCTCTCAGCCTCCACAAACTTCAAGGGGAGGGGAAAAAACCAGCCCTTTCATTAAATGGGATATTGGGTTCACAGCAAAGCCTCCACCATGTAACAAGGGGACAAAGCAGATTTTTGAGTCATTGTAACAAACTCTCATTGTCTTTTCAGAATGGCTTCCCCCAAAGCCATCCTGTTTTAGGGACAGGGTTATAACCATTGGTACACAGAACTGAGTTAAGATTCTGGACCTCACGGCCTTATTTATGGCAATGCCTAAGCCCCCAAGATCATAGGCACTACTTCATTTACTTAGACCCCTGGCCTTGCTGACTGGAAGATTCCAGGAACTGTGGTTCCAAAAAAGTAACCTTTCTAAATTTTGTTTGAATCTAACAGAAGCAACTAACTAGTGAGAAATTGTGTGGGGAATGAAACCTCTTGGATTCGTAAAGAAACTGGCAATCCACATAGGCATTTATTCCGCTGTTCAATGCACAGATGGATTAGTCCACTCTTTATTCAGGCATCCACATGTGGACATAACTGGAGTGCCCAACCCACAATTCTGTTCCCCTATCAGGGTTCTACTATTTTGGTACAAGTTGGAGGGCTCTAGTTTAGTCCATTCCCAGCAAATGTGGTTACTTGGAATGGACTAGAATAGAGTCTTGCAGCTCCTTTTAGTGTCAATCAGAAACTGAACCCTTCCCTTGATTGTCTGCAGAGGTCAGGGGATGTTAACTTTTTAAAAAATATATATATCTGTTAGATCATTGCTAATGTGGTCAATCACTTCATTTAAATGTTTAAAAAGTTTTTCTTGGCCTGTCTGTTTATTACTAATCAAACCATGGCTTCAGGCAGTTTCTTGATTGGTAATAAACAGACAAGCAAAGAAAAAAATAAATGTAAATGAATTGATTGCATTAGTGATGATCTAGCAGATGCTATATATATATATAATTTTTCCTGACCCTCTGCAGAAGATCAGGAGAAACGCTAATTGACAGTGGATAGGGCTATACGGGGTCGTCTGCTGTCTGAATGGGAGGAGCGCCATTGAATGGCATATCGTTCCTTCCCCTTTGTAGCCCAATCCAGCCAACACCAAAATGGTCAGTCTCAACAGGCCCTAAGAGAGCTGGCAAAAGACGTATGCTGAAGCCACTGGTCCCATCACCTCCTGGGAAATAGAAGGGGAAGATATGGAGGCAGTGACAGATTTTATTTTCCTGGGCTCCATGATCACTGCAGATGGAGACAGCAGCCCCGAAATTAAAAGACGCCTGCTTCTTGGGAGGAAAGCGATGACAAATCTTGACAGCATCTTAAAAAGCAGAGACATCACCTTGCCAACAAAAGTCCGAATAGTCACAGCTATGGTTTTTCCTGTCGTGATGTATGGAAGTGAGAGCTGGACCATAAAGAAAGCAGACCGCCGAAGAATTGATGCCTTTGAATTGTGGTGCTGGAGGAGACTCTTGAGAATCCCCTGGACTGCAAGGAGAACAAACCTATCAATTCTAAAGGAAATCAACCCTGAATGCTCACTGGAAGGACAGATCCTGAAGCTGAGGCTCCAGTACTTTGGCCATCTCATGAGAAGAAAAGACTCCCTGGAAAAGCCCCTGATGTTGGGAAAGTGCGATGGCAAGAGGAGAAGGGGACGACCGAGGATGAGATGGCTGGACAGTGTCTGCGAAGCAACCAACATGAATTTGACACAACTCCGGGAGGCAGTAGAAGATAGGAGGGCCTGGCATGCTCTGGTCCATGGGGTCACGAAGAGTCGGACACGACTAAACGACTAAATGACGACGAAGCAGCAAAGGGTGACCACTCAGACATCATTCAAGGTACATGGTGGCCAAGTCCAGTCAAATTATTTTGGCACACATAGGAAAACTCTAAACTTCCTCTTTCTCTTATAACAGTAAAACACAATATTAATAAATAAAATAACTAAAATTTCACTGCTGTCATGTTGCCTAATGGTACTGCCAGGCTTATTAAGAAATGTGCAGTCAACTGTACTGTATAAAATGCATCATAATTCTAATGGCCCACTCAGGTACATAAATATCCAAGTTCTACAGATGTAAATTTGGTGGAGAAAGAGCATTCTGCTGTACTCACTCAACATATTCCTCCTGTTATTGACACCAGGCTGCCTCTGTAAACATACATGAACAAGCAGGACAGGTGAATATACTCTAAAGACAGTATATTACAAAATATATGCTGAATACAAATCATATGTTCACTGTTCACTTCCATTAAAGCAGGAGGAAGGGACCAATGTCTAGGAAAATTTTACTTTCTCAGGACCTCTGGGTTATGAAATGTATGAATTTCCATGATCTGAAAATTTTTATTTTAATCATCTATGGAATTCAGTTCTGAATCACATCTGAGGTTGATCCATGGCCCTTTTAGCCTAAATTTGGCTAAAATCAGTGTCCAGTGGTCCTCTGCAACTTGGACTCTGCACTTATTTCTCAGTAATGTGGTTTGTTGTGTTTCAGATTAACCACAAATTAAGCATTAACTTAATGCCTGAATATCAGGGGGAACAAAACCCAAAATATAATTTAAAAATAACATTCCAGAATTGCTGATTTATAATCTTACACTAATATCTGCTGCTACTGCCGAATATTTCCCACAATATTGGATTCTTTTTCTTCCTATAGAAGGCTCCATGTCTTCTGTTTTGAGATGCTGGCGAGACATGAAGGCAGACCAAATTTAACAGCTACATTAACATCACTGTGACACTTGTTCACATGTAATTTGCTAATGTTGTACTAGGTGGCGAAAAAACGCTCCATCATTTCCCGTCTGACATAACAAGTCACTGGAGACGCAGTGCCACTTTTGGAATATGTCAGGAAAACAGATTGTAGCGCTCCTTTTTTGTCTTTCTGGAATAGGAGCAATGATTGCTGCCACGGCCTCCAATGAATGGAAAATAACCAGCAGGGCATCCTCTGTGATCACAGCCACATGGATTACCCAGGGCCTCTGGATGAACTGTGCAGGAAATGCTATGGGTGCTTTCCACTGCAGACCTCATCTGACCATCCTCAAGGTCGAGGGTAAGCAAGCTAAAGGAAGTAATGTCTTCTCAGGTGGAGGGCCATGTTGTCTGGGCAACTAATACTTTTAATCAGCACTATGCGTCGAAATTGGATGTTCTTTTGGACCACTGGGGTTTGAGTTTTGGAGGAGAGCTTATAGGAGTTCAAAAGAGATGCTCCGGCTGCCCTGAGGTCTTCAGGTTTCACACTCAGGAATTCAAAATGTATTTTTTAAAAAAACAAACAGGCAAGGGCATGCCTTTTAGCATATACCAATGCCGTTTACATCTGTACATATTCACTAGTGGATGTCAACATCCAAAACAGGGTGGTGGTAATAGGAGCAGCTGTCAGACAGCACGCAATAATGCAAGCATCAAGAATGCACAGCTAAAGATGTTATCAGTCATATTTTCCATTCAAAAAAAAAGTGGCTTGGAGGCCCAGCCAGTGCTGCACATGATCAGAGTGATCCCCTTTAGAATGGGATGGATCAAGTGCACCTTGGGTCTGTGTGGGATCCCCTCTAGCTCCGGGTGGTCTTCTGTCATTTCTCAATTAAAAAGAAATGGGCTTCCTGGACTAAAACATATGGCGGGGGGTAATTATGGTCCCAAATGACCAATCACAGTAGCTAGAAGCTTCAAGGGGGGCACAACTGGCCATATTTCTGACCAAGTAAATTGAGGGGGTAAAGTACTTGGAGAAGCGTTTCAGAAAATGTGGTCATAGATTGGTTATGGTCTCTTTGGCATTGTATGGAGGCTGGCAGGAGCCCCCAACCCCTGGCTGTTGTCCTGCTCTGCTGGAGAACATGGCTAGAATCCTTTCCTGCCTTTTGGCTTTTTGGGTGGGTAGGTTGGCAAATGTCCTGTGACACTGGGGACAAGGTTTCCTGAATGTTCTTGGTATGTTTCTCTTTCACTGCACTGCAGTTTTTCAAGCTTCTTCCTTTAATCCTTCCATTTAAATTTTTCCATTGGGGAAGATAACCCCCTTTTGAGTTGCTTGATATCGACACAGAATGACAGCCATGTACTTCCTTCCAAGCCAAGAAGGGCAGAGGAAGACAAAGGCAGCTGCTTTGGGGCTTGCAAAAGCTTTCTTGTTGAATCCCTAAAACCAAACATTGATTATAGTCATATCTATCTATATTGCTATTTACTACTTCCATCTACTGTATTTACAATTTATTTAGCAACACAGTAATCTTCCAAGGCAGACCCTAGTTCAGTACTGTCCACACTATCAGTGACTCTCCAGGCTTTGAACAGGACCTTCTCCCCAAATGCTATGTGGAGACCTTTAGGAACTGAACCCAGGACTTTCTCCATGTCGTCTCTGTGGTGGCCACATCGCCTTGGAATTCACTCCTACCTAAGGTGTGATCAGCCCCATCCCTCCTTGGTTTTAGGAGATAAGTTAAAATCTAACTTGTTTGCACAAGCCTTTCATGGCCTTACCCCAGAGTAATCTGGCTTGAGTAACTGGGTTTTCTTTTTGTGCCTGTGGACTTGCATTGTTCTGCCGCCTACTATTATTATATTCTGGATCTATACTTTTTCATAGTTATTATCTTTTTTGTATTTCTTATAATATATTTTTGGAGATTATGTCCTTTGTCTGTTGTTTCATTTGAATTTTATTATTGGTTTTGTCATGTATATTGTGCTATTTCGATTTGTTCGCCACCGAAAGCAGTATGTACACACACACACACTCTCACACACAAATACACACACACACACACACACACACACACATACATACATACATACATACATACGTTGTACCATGGTGGGCGGAGCTACTGTCCCATCTATCCCAATATTTTTCATTCTTTCACCTTGCATTACCTAGTTTCATCCAAGACTAATAAACTATACTTTCAATATTTATGAATCATGAGGAAAGTAAGCTGTAGTCCATCTGGACTGTTTATTACGAGTTTGTAAGTTTATGCAGGAAGAAACTGAGAGTAGCTCTTCTCCAAATGAAACAGCAGCAGCACAACCTGGAATGACATTTAGGAATTCTAATTTTAGCCTCTCTGCGCAAGAGCTGCTGAGGCACAGTATTACACTACGAGGTGACATGAGATTCTGAGCAGTAATCAAGCGATTCAAACCACTGGTTACTATGCTTACTTTATTATACAAATACATGGGGGGAGAGGAAAGAAAACAAAACACAACAGAGCAAAGTCATGGGGAACTGTTTACACTAATACAGTGTCTACTATAATTTTGGCTCCATGGCTGTGTTACAATACTAAAATCCCGAATGTATGCTATATTCTCTAGTCATATTTGTTTCTGGGCCCAATCATAAAACATTTTTCAGATTTCTTTAACATGCTTTTGCACCCTATGTGTTCATAATTTTGGCAATATTCTGTGGCACCGAGTTCTATGTTTCCATAATATATTTTGTGCAGGGATTTTTCCTTTCATGTCATTGAAACCTGCTGCCTATCCATTTCTGTCTCTGTCTGTTTTTAATATTTTGAGAGCTTGTGTTAATTGTTTGATATTTGCTCTTTCTACATCAGTCACAATATAGTTATACAGCACTGCATTCCAGTCACTCCTGGGATGGTGCTCTTCCTTGACTTCTGCTTACAGCATCATAATTTGGATATTCTGATGCCATATTCCTCTCTCCACAATCCCCTGAATGTCAGATGCCTGGCTTCTGCATACCATTTTAAAAACATATGAAGCCACCAGAGTTTGGAAATTTTAGACCAACACCAGGCAAGGATTCTCAGAACATTTGGGGGTGGGGTGTGTGCATGGGCTTCAGTCTGCCCGAATAATGCTTGAAAAATAATGTCACTTGAAGCAAAACCATAACCCAGCATCCTCAGTGAAAGATGAAGCTGGGATGATTTTTATGTTCCCTCCCTTAAAAGTCTTTACACAGGAGGTGAAGGCCCATCCTATTACTGAAGCAGTGTAGACTTAGCTGGACTGCTTGTTTAAAAAGTGTGCTGCTTATATAGTACTACCCCCTAGCACTTACTGTAAAACGCACCATTTACTGATCATGGAAGGCGTAGTGAACCTCGAGCCAGCCACTTGAGATCGAACCTGGGACATGAGCAGAGTTTTGGTTGCAGTACTGCAGTTTAACCACTGCGTCATAAGGCACTTATCACAAGGAAGTGCAAGTTTGCCCTGTTTGAATGAAACAGAAGATGAAAGATTTATTAGTCAGCATGAAAGAGTGGCGGAGAAAAGCTTCTGTTGATGCAAGAAGGGGTTCTTGTTCTTTCTGTGACTTCAAATGTACTAACCTGTATCAGTTCCTTACCTGCCTCATACCTCACCTGTTTCTTATCTGTTGAGGATGGTTCCATATAAGCCATTTCCTTTTTCCATTCAATTTCATTCAAATAGACAAATTTACAGCCTAGGATGGCCCAAAAGAACTGAATTCAAAATGTAGGAACTTACCGTGTGACTTCAAATGTACTAACCTGTATCAGTTCCTTACCTGCCTCATACCTCACCTGTTTCTTATCTGTTGAGGATGGTTCCATATAAGCCATTTCCTTTTTCCATTCAATTTCATTCAAATAGACAAATTTACAGCCTAGGATGGCCCAAAAGAACTGAATTCCAAATGTAGGAACTTAGTTCTTTGTGTTTGCCAGTTCTACGGCAGACCTATATAGTTCCTGTGATATGAAAAAAGATGTGTAAATCTAGTTTTAAAAGGCTAATATAGAAAGAGGAAGTGTGGAGTGACATGTGTAGACAGCATGCACATTGATTTGTCAAATAGTAGCAGTAATTGGTAGTAACAGTAATTTAAGCATATAACTTTAATTCATTTTCAAACCTAATGTTTCTAAGTTCTGTCCTCATATTATTTTTATACTTATAGAAGTGGGGCTAAATAGTGGAGGAGGACTATAACATCATTGAATTTCTGCTGTTTTTGTGTTGTTGTTTTGCATTCTGTTGTGAGTGATCAGGCAACAGTGAAGTGTTTCAGAGAGAATGTATTTGATTTCATAGGCCAGCAGCCTATAGCAACTAGATTTTTCCCCTAATGAGTAATGCAAATGAAACTACAGTAATAGTAACTAGATTATTTTTGAGAAAGCAAAGAGGTACTTTTTAGCAATCAACTGTAACAATAACTTGTATTTCTGGGTGGTTGGAATGACCAGTGAAATTCCCTCCCTCTCTCTCTCTCTCTCTCTCTCTCTCTGTGTGTGTGAAAAGGTTCGTTATTTCCCTCAGGCGACCCCTCCATAATGGTGTGAAATGACAACGGACGCATCTTTTTAAATTTAACATCAGAACTTTTACTTTCTCCAACATCCACCTGCACTTCTTCAAACGATAACAATGGTTCCAACACCGATAACAATGGTTCCAACACCGGCAACTGGCCGTCATTAATAACATTCAAACTTTGATTAACATCCCATTGAGTCAGTGATGTGGCTCCCCACAGGGTTCCTTGGGCGCCATCCGAGGGCTTGGGAGACTCCTCACTGCGCCGATTGTCCCACAGCATCGATGACAGATCCATCCTCTTTCATCCGGACCCTCAGGGAATGATGCTACTGCGCTTTCCCTAGCCCGTTGTAGTTCGACTTCCCTCGGGGCCACGATCACGTCCCACTCCCGAACAGTTATCCTTTGGGGTATCCCTTGAGGATCAGGAGGGTTAGGCAATAAACTGCCCACCCTTAGATTCGGAAAGCCCTTCACCAATCCTTGAAATTGGACTTTCTCGAATGCTCTCCATCTTTCCTCTCTTTTTCTCTCCTCATAGGCCTTTACCACCGAACTGAACCACACGACCCCTTCCTCATCCTTATATTCCTCCCCAACTGTCACTTCTGACTCCTCCCACTCCCCCTCAGCCAAACACACCTCTATCTTCCTCTCCCCCTCTCCTTCTGTTAACTCTTTTTTCTCTTCTTCGCCACTTTCACTGTTAGCCTGTTGTTTCTTTCCGTTGTTATTGTCTTTTATTTTGATTTCTGTGGACAGCTC